TTCTCACTTTAATAAGATAAACTTTTTAATGGATGGGAGAAAGTAATTTTACCGAAAAGATTTCTTAAAAGTTAAGAATATTAAAATTTACAATTTTTTATATGACTGAAATGACAGTAGTATCAGTAGGGAGAAACACAGTGGTTAACCTGCCGGATTGTGAATCTTTGAGAGAATGTCTTGCGTCCTGTTGTCTCCGAAAATAATACACACTTTGTATTTTGGAACTTTGGGGTCATGGTTGCGTTATAAAAGTTAGGATAAATTTCACTATTCGATTACAGTAGCCCAAGAGTTAGGGGTAGGTGCCGTTCACTAGTTGCCTACCCTCTAGTCTGTCATTTTAAAATTAGGGAGGCTAGCGCAGATAGGCTCTTGATTAGCTTTGTGCGAGTATCTGCAAAGGAACATCTATATATTTGACATATTAATAAATGTTCCATTCAATAAAAAATGCTTCATATAACTATTGTATGAAAAGAGTCTGCTACTGATAGTTTTATAAAGATAACTTTTACTAATTAGATATTGCTTATTACTAACCGTTTCTTGAAATTCCAGAATAATAATAATGACATAAACAATTGTCTACTATGGATGGTTCTATGAATTCTGACCTGTCAAAACTGAACGAAATTAATAATTCGAACTATTGTGGTTTTCTAATTAAGGTGAAATTTGTCTACATTTAGCAATTATGTATGAGACTGTCTGTCTTTTCTCTAGTCAATGGCTTCAAAATTAGAGGCGGCTAGCACAAAATTCAACAAAACATTACTAAATTATATATATTTTGAACTAGTCTACTACTAAAAGTTTAATAATTCTAATAAAAAATTCCATAATAATATTCCTACTTCCACTAACATTATAAGACTAATAGCTAAAAATCATTTCGAAACAAATAGTTCTAATTCTACAACTGTTAATTTGGGGATACCATTTATAATATTATTAATTCTGTAAATAGTTTATTCGGTTTCATAATATAGGTCATTATAACATTGTGTGAGCTCTTCGTTGATTTATTAATATCTAGTTCGACACATTAAAACTAAAAGCCGAAGTAAAAAATAATAATAATAGTCGCTGGGCTTTCCACCGCAAGCCCTGCACATAATATCATCCAGTGAAATGTGCAGATATTCTGTTCTGATGTATTTTCTGCTCTAAAATTAAAATAAGTGCGTGCCTATGCTAACCAAGGCAACAAAACAGCATAGTTATATTTAGTCTTCTGTGATTTTCTTCGTCTTCTTCGTACCTCTAAATGATTTTAGTATTATAAAAAGAAGACAATAGAAAATTTATCCTGAAATATGATACTGTTTCAGATCAAGCTAGAACTTACACCTACGCTAAGTTTATTTATACATTGCGTGTTTTAATGGCATTCTTTTGTCTACTTTCACCAGCACTGATCATACGTTAAACTTTATCGATTAGGAATGTGCATTTTGTCTATGGTCTAGTTGTTTGAATTTATCTTGTTTCTCTAGATATATTTTAATTCAAATTCAGAAACAAAAGAGACAAAAAAAAAAAACTTGATAGATTGTCCACCACGTAAAGTTTCTGATATTTTCAGACAAACTGAAAATTGATGTATTGAACAATCCAGGAAAGTTTTAGCGAATTAAAGAAGCAAATTGAAAATAGATCGGAAAAATAAAAGTGTTGAAAATTCTATAATTGAAAACAATTTAGAACTGTCGTATCCTGTTAAACTAAAGCACCAGTTAGACATATTAAAATCTAGAAAGGAAAACATGTTTAATTTTCTCTTAGTAAATACGTTTTCTTTTTGTTTCATAAACATAGTTTTGCTTTAGTGAAATAAATTTATTTGGGTCTTATAAATATAATATTGTTTTTTATGTTGGATTCTAAATTTTAGAAAAGACGAGTCCTTGCGTAATAATACGGTGAATAATTTACTAATGTTTCCACTAATTCTGCAGAGATCCATAAAGTTAATTATCTCATACAACTAAGGTACCAATCAGGAATATTTTATTTTTACATTATTTTCCTTATTTAACTTTCCTTGTCCTATGGAAAGGCTATAAAAATACTACAATATGCATTTATAAGTTATTTTTTCATATAGTTAATGGAAATTATATTGATTCGGTTACCAAAAACGTAATCATTACTTTAGCTGGTGATGATATATATATTTTTTTATTCTAATACATCGTCACATTACCTTAAAACAGGCGAATTGTCAATTTTTCATTTTACAAACAGCAAAGCATTGAAATATATTGCTTTATTTCGAATACTGTGATAACAATTTTATATTAAATTGCTTTCTCCAGTTTTAGAGCACTCAATCAAATGGTAAGTAGTTTCGTAATCTTTACAAAATGATTGGAATTAAATAATCATACAAGCTCGTAGAAAGGGATATTCCGTTTTAAAAGTAATATTATGTAAGAGTCATTAATGTTATGCATTTAAACGTTTGACGACAGCAACATGAACCGAAACTGTACTGATGTAATAAAAGAAACAGAGAAGTTCCCTGTTCATTTATACAAAAAAATACAAATATTTCTCATCAATGACTAAAAGATGGCAATAATAGTTCCATTTGAAGAAACAAAAACGCTTTTAACATGTAGATGATTACATTATTTAGTATATAGAAAGTCAGTGTTTTTTATTTTATTTTTATGAGTATATTTTCATTATGATGATTGATTTGCATTGTTAGCTCAATATATGTACTTATGATTAACCTAAGCCTCCTAAGCTGACAAAACCTTGAGATATTATTGGGGTTAAGTCCGAAAGTATCGTTTACTTAGGGTATACTCAAATGATGAAATAATGCATTCCAGTCTTTATAATTAGAAACGTAAGAAGGGTGTATTTAATTAGCTATTGTAGTATGCATTCACATATCTCTTTATTTATTACTATTACCCAACGAAACATCATAACGTTCAACCAAATATTATAATTTATATTCATAATGGAAAAAAATGCTCTATCTACTACTGATACCCCAAAAAATATATTTATCCTTATAAACATTCCTTTTGTTATTATAGGGAACGATACCATAATATTCAACCACATAATACTAGTGTAACTCATCAACGAAACATCATAACGTTCAACCAAATATTATAATTTATTTTCATAATGGAAAAACAATGCTCTATCTGTTACTGATATACAAAAATATATAATATTTATCCTTATAAAGCATTCCTTTGGTTATTAAAGGGCACAATACCATAATATTCAACCGCATAATACTAGTGTAACTCATCAACGAAACGTCATAACGTTCAACCAAATATTATAACTTATATTCATAATGGAAATACAATGCTCTATCTGCTACTGATATCAAAAATATATAATATTCATCCTGATAAAGCATTCGTTTGGTTATTAAAGGGCACAATACCATAATATTCAACCACATAATGCTAGTGTAACTCATCAACGAAACATCATAACGTTCAACCAAATATTATAATTTATATTCATAATGGAAATACAATGCTCTATCTGCTACTGATATCCAAAAATATATAATATTCATCCTTATAAAGCATTCCTTTGGTTATTATAGGGCACAATACCATAACATTCAACCACATAATACTACTGTAACTCATCAAACAAAACACAATGACGTTGGTTCAATTA